GGGCTTGCTTCACGGCTCCGCCTAGAGGTTGTTTGTGAGTCATCCTCCTAGACACCACCATGCGCGTCTCATGTCCACCATCCATCTCATCATCTTCCACACATTCAGGCATTTCATCAACATGCTTAGTTACATCATCATACTCATGGGGTGGCTGCTTTTGGAGAACAGAGGACAGGGTCCATGGAACCTCGCTGATTCCTTGCAGTTCAGCCCAAGCCTCTTCTCTTGCGGAGGCGGGTCTTAGTTGTTGTGGCGTTGCCTTGACTAGTTGTCCTCCTCGATACAGCCAAATGATATGACCGGCTCGAATCTCCTCATCTCCTGCTCGAGTTTCTGTGGCAAGCACCCGAAAAGGACCCACAAACTTACCACCCTTGAAATGCTTGTGGCCGTCCTGCTTTGGCGTCATCCGTCGCCACAAGAAAACCAAGTCGCCCGGGCAAAAACTCTTCATCCCTCTGTGACCTGACATCTCGGCCCGCCTTAGTCTTTCCTTAGCTTGCTCCTGGAGGAAAGTGGCCTCAGCTGTGAGCATGGACTTTACATCCCTTCCAAATTCAGCAGACACACCATGTTCCGTGAGGATTGGTATGTCCTTCATGAGGCTCTCACCAAGTTGTCCTAGCTCGTTGGGGGCTCTACCAAAAGCATGCTGCAAAGGACTGTACCCATGGTATTGATCACGATTGTTGCACGCCCAGATGGATCTGTAAAAGGCCTCAGATGCGGACATGGTGGGGCTCTCGGAGGCTAACGCTGACATCATGCTTTTGATGGTTTGAACAGCTCGTTCTACAACTGAAATCTGCCAATGGGCCTCGGCAGGAATATGCTGGACCTCGATACTCCTTTCAGATAAATACTGGTCCATCGCGTGGCTTCGGAAACATCCAGCAGGATCCACCCGAAGAACCTGAGGNNGGGAAGCCAATGACCCTCAAAGAAGTCCACAAAATCCTGCATACTTGGGGTGCGAGACGAGTGTTGAAACAGAACCCTACCTGACCTGAGCCTGCTACCTTCGTCGATGCCTAGCATGAACTGCCATTTCTCGTGGGTTTCTGGGTGATTCCATGAGAAAGCATCGCATTGCAGGGTGTGCCATTTCGGAACTAACTCGTACAGACTCGACTGACTCCGGGGATCAGGACGACGACGTTCATCACAGACATCACATTGAAAATGTTCCGCACATCGCAACACCTCTTTAGTCGCTCCTCTCTTCTTAAGGCTAGCCCTGAGGTATTGCGGACTACAGTGACCCGTCGCATTGTGAATCCGTCGCAGATTCTGAAAGATCTGCTTGCGTCTTTCTGGCGCAATGTCCTGAAGTGCATCAGAAGGCTCTGCTGAGCTCCGGGAGGCCTCAGCCTCTTCCTTAACAGCGAAGCACCTAGCATCCCCTGTCAGAAGTTCCCGCGCAAACTCAAACCAGCCTTCTGTTCGCTCCAAGAATCGGGCGACCCTGCGTGCAAACTCGTTCGTATATCCTAGTGGGCCCTGTGGCATCCTACCTTCATGGTTTCGGGCATGCTTCCTATCGCACTGCAAGGACATGTGTTGTATCAGGCTACCACTGTTACTAGACATCTTCCATCCCTGGCACTGCAAACACTTCTGATAGTCCCTACGATTCACCTGACAGCCTTGACACACCCCTTCATACAGGTCAATGTCCTGACTAAGTTTCTGATACCATGACTGTTGCCATGCATCGCAGTACTCTGGGCTTCCAAGGACACAGGTGGCTCCTCGAGAAACCGCTGCCCGGAAAAGCTTGGAGATCCCCTCATACTGTATGAGCGCTTGGTCCCTCTTTTCCTGGAGCCTCTTTTGTTGATCAGGGCCCTTGAGGTTCATTCTTTGACAAGGGGAGAAAGGAGTGAAGTCGGGGCTAAACCACACAAGCTTAGGCCTCTCATCCTCTAACACCTTCTCAATGTACCCTCTGCCCTGTTCGGTATTGAGGTCTCCACCGTTCCAAAAGGACAACTGAAGCGCAGATCCCTTTCCAAAAATCCTTTCACACTCCACAACTAAAGGACTACGTTCACAACCTCCAACCTCAATCACCTTCACCTTGTACTCCCCGAAGTCCTTCACCTGATGCATCAAAGCCTCTTCATAAGCCCGACCGATCCTCCTAGCGGTTTGGAAAGGAAGCTTCTCACATGTGTGGTCTCCTAGGCTTTCCTCAGAGGTCTCATCAGCGCCATCGTCCTCGAGAGGCTCCGTAAAGCCTACTTCTCGGTGCGCCACTGATGCTTGGAACTGGTGTCCTGGCCCTTGTGCGGCAGCTCGTCGCGGTTGGCCACCTCCTGTCGAAGCCGAGCCAGTTCCGCCTCGAGGAGATTGATGCGCTCCATGGCCTCCCCAGGAATCATCTCGAGGTCTTGGGTCACCTCCCACGACTTGTCCGTGGTCACGCTCGGGGATGGAGGCCGTGGTGCTGCCATCGATGATGCTACTGGGTAGCCCCGTTGGGACGTTCCGGTCACTCGCCGAGTCATCTGCTCCTTCTCCGTGGTTCCCACACCCTGAGCCCACAGAGCAAACCGTTTCATTCGCCAGTAGCTCTCGGGATTTTCGGTGGCTGTTGTGATGCACCACTGGGTGTAGCTGGGCGTCTGAATCAGCACCTCCTCGTACTTCATG